AGGTGATTGCCTTGAGGAATGATGAGGGGCTGTACCTGGAAGAGGAAACACATTAGTGGTCACAGGACAGCAAGTGTCCACAGTTACCTCATTAGGTCCTAAGTCCCTGGACTAGGAAGCCTCCCACCTTGGGGATTTTCACCAAGATTTTGAAGTCTTAGCAAGGGAAAACGAGGCTGAGATCGATTCTTTGGGAGAAACCCAGTAGTTTTTTTTTTTTTTTTTTAATGGGACTTATAATTCACCATTTATTGGTTCATTTCCATACATTTCTGATTTACTTTTCTTTTTTATTTTTTTTATTCTTATGTTAATCCCCATACATTACATCATTAGTTTTAGATGAAGTGTTCCATGATTCATTGTGCATAACACCCAGTGCTCCATGCAGAATGTGCCTTCCTCAATACCCACCACCAGGCTAACCCATCCTCCCACCCCCTCCCCTCTAGAACCCTGTTTGTTTTTCAGAGTCCATCGTCTCTCATGGTTCGTCTACCCCTAGTTTTAAAAAGGTGTAAGTCTGATTTTCCTCTAGTCTCTTCTACCAATTTATACAGTTTGTGTCTATCTGTTTGACAGGTTGTTTGACAACCTTCAGAGAGGGCAATTTAGCAATAGTTAACCATATTTTAAAATACAGTTAATCTTTTGCCCCAGTAGTTTTATTTCTAGAAATGTATCCTCCTTTGGACATATTTGTCCTTTTGCCATACGATGTGTCTAGAAGATTATTTATTACAGCATTGTTTTAACTAGCAAAAAACAAACAAACAAACAAACAAAAACCTGGAAATAACCTACAAATCCATCAAAAGGGGACTGGCTGGATTAAATTATGGCACATCCCTCTACAGAACACTACTCAGCGGTAAGAAAGAATGAGAGCCTCTTTACATGTTGACATATGGACATATAGTCCATGGTTCAGTGAGAAAAAGGGAAGGTGTAGAACACTGCATTTCTTGGCAGATAGAAAAGAAGCAGGTAACAGAAGCGATGGAAACAGAATGGGCTTTCAAACAGTGGTATTCAGGAAGCTTGTTTTTTCCTTAATACACTTTTACACCTTTGTACTGTTGTACTATGTGAATATACTCAATCTCTAGAAATTAATATAATTTAAAAAACAGTAAAATGCTTACATGAATTGGAGACAGTTCTACCACTAATAATTAATCGAATAGCATAGTTGATAATTGCAAATCACAGCCCATCAGCAGCTGCTCAAATAAAGAGTCTGAATGGTGGTATGGAATGTTCTTCAAGACATAGTATTTGGCGCATCTGGGTGGCTAAGTCGGTTAAGCGTCGGCTTTTGGCTCGGGTCATGATCTCAGGATCCTGAGATGGAGCCCTACTTGGGGCTCTGCACTCCATGCTCAGTGGGGAGCCCGCTTCTCCCCCTCCCTCTGCCCCCCACACTCCTGTTCTCTCTCTCTTGCTCTTTCCCTATCTAAAATAAATTAATAAAATCTTTAAAAAGGGTGGGCGGGAGACATAGTGTTCAATTAAAAACTAAAACAGAAGCCAAAGCAAGCTACAGAAAAAACCTGTAGTATATGCCCTTCATGGGAAAAGAGAAATATGTATATAAACAGTTTGTATAGAGATGGGACATCCAGGAGGATGAAAAGACACACAGGTATTTAACAGTGACAGACTCTGGGCTTGTGGCCTGGGGGCACTTTCTTTGCAGTGTATCCCTTTATATGCCTTATGAATTTTCAATTCCCATGTCCAGATAATAATTAGTTCAACAAAAAGGAAAACAAAGGCAAGGACAAACATGTAGCTTTATCAGTTTGTGAACAGCTGAGTTGACCTTCTGGATCAAGAGAGGCATGCCAAGTTAAAATCAATGTTAAAGGAAAAGCCCAAGCTCACATTGTGTAGAGCCGGAGTCCTAAAGATACGTCTTTAATTCCAAAAATGACCAAAATAGAAAAGGCAATCACAGGTGATCGATGGGTTTACTTTTGGAGCAATGATAGGCTGAGGTTTAAGACCTACTCAGCTATAACAGTCTCCTTTTCATAGAAAATGTTGCACTTTTTATGGAATTTGGCAGGTCAAAAAAAGAAAAGAAAAATGTTGGCTTTTCCCTGTTGCCCGTTCCGCAAAATTCTGAAATATTCAGAACACAAGAAATGCATGCAACAAGCACAAGGACCTTAAAAAATATTCTCGGGCAGATGTATCCAAATCCACTTCACATCGCTGAGGTCCTTGGCCAGTGGGGGAACCCACAGCTGGCTAGATGTCTTAGCTTTCACTTTCAAGAGAAGGAGAGAGAAGGATGGTGGAAAGTGAGGCGTGTTATTTAGGGTCAGGTGGCAAACAGAGGAGGGTCTGAAAAACATGCTGAGCCTACCTACAGCAGGAGCACTCCATTTGGGGGGAAACCCAGAGGTGGGGGTCCGGCCTCTGGATGTGAAAACAAGAGTTCTGGCAACCCCTTTGCCGCACGTCAGCTGTCATTCTGTCACTTGGGTGAAGTTCCTGTGAATCAGAGCTTGTTCTTGCTCCCTCTCCTGCCACAGAAGTGTCCGAGTCTGGCGTTCCTAAGCTGCATGAAGTAGGGACACATTCGCTTGTTGAATGCTGACCATTCCTCAAGTAATCTGCTATTGTTAGTCACGAGTTTCTCTACTTGGGCCTCTCCCCTCCTTAAACCTTTGCCCATCTGCTTCTTCTTCTAAGATGGAGTCCAACCACAAATTCCTTGACTTCCAAGGAAGATGTGTGTGACCATCCTGACCAGCTTCCATTCTTTCTTCTTCTCTGAGCCCTGGAGAGCCATCTCCTTCTTCTTGCTCAGTCCATGCAGTTCAGGTAGTAAGCATGGTGGCACTTCGGGATCCAAGACCAGAAGCTGGGATTGGCCCCCATGAGTGCCCCAATGCCCCTTGGCCACAGTGATGGGTTTATGACCAACTGATCGTAGCATCATGAGTCCTGGGATTGGAGAGAGAGCTTCTGGGACAAGCTCTTTCCCACTGAACTTGAACTGAGCAGGATGTGAGCTGGATCGGTCTTGCCGTCCTGCATGGGATCTGAGGGTGAAGGGCACACTGCTGATAGCAGAGCCAGAGACGCAGAGAAACCAGATCTACAGACACTGCATGATCCCTGAACCTGGCCAGGCCCAAAGCCACATCCACCGTGGACGTTTTAGCTATGAGTCCCTGAAACCCAATTCCCTTTTCCCCCTCCTATCTCCTTACGCGGCGTTGGGTTTTCAGTCATCTGCAAAAGGGGGAACTCTGACTAATGTATCTCCTATGGGGATAATCATAGTCCCAAACCTGGGTCTTGACTTCTTCCTATATATCTTCATCTAGATTAGCTCATGGATTCTTCCAACAAGCTTATGCAATAGTCAGGACAGTATATATTAATCTCCATTTATATTAGGGGGAACTGAGGTTCATAGAGGTTAAATGACTCGCTTGGGGTCCTAGCTGGTAAGAAATAGAGCCATGACTGGCCCCTTCTCTGGAGCATTGCTGGCCTGTAAGCTTCGAGTCCTTCCCACTCACCTCCAAAGGCAGGCACTGGGGGCCCTGCAGGCTCAGCCAGGACAGTGTCTGAGATCTGGGGGGTTGGGGGGCTGCCGAAAAAGTAGCCTTCTGCTGAGTAAATGGGAAATAACCAGCTCCTCATACCAAATGAGGGCCGGGGTAGAGACTGGCTGACTGTCAGAAAGAAGCCATACCCAGGTGAGGAGGGCACCAAGGGCCAAAGTCAAGGACAGGGAGGCTCAGGGAGAGTGACCATCCTCGGCTGCAGAGTGGACTTGGGGAAAGGAGGTGAGGGTGAAAGCCCGGGTGGCGATATTTCTGTGTCTCTGCTGCCATCGTCGTGAACATCTTCGCAGATGGGAGCTCCGTGCCCTGCAGGTTGCCACTCAGAGCTCCTGACCTGGTTCCTCCACGTCCTGACTGTTCCCTCCCCTGCACCCCACTTACCTTACCTTTGCCCAGGGCCCCCGTGCTCAGGAATGTTAGAAACATCAGCATGTGTGGTGGTTACAAAACAATGGAATAGGAATTATTTCCGTGTCTCTCTCTCTTTGTTAAAGTTGGAGGATGGAAGCCATTTTGTGTATTACAGAAAGATGAAATTCCTGGATGAGGTTTGAAATCTTCTCTCTGCAATTTATCACTGTCTTTGGGGCACGGGGATTCAGGCCCTCAGACGCCAACCTAATTAAAACAGCTGGGTTAGAGAGTGAAGAAGAAACAGTGCCAGTTAGCACGTTCTATAATGAAGGTCTCTATTTTTTTTTTCTTTTAAAAGAGCACCCCCACTGTATAAGTGATCACCGTTGGTTCAGGATTTTGTGGGTGCCAGTGGGGAGCCGCGGGGTCAGCGGTGAGCTCACCTTCCCCTCCCCTCCTGCACCTGACCTCTGCTGACCCCTCCCTCCACCAGCGCATAGTGTTTCTTCTTCAGGACTTGGCAGGTAGTTTGTCACGCTGATCTTAATCAGATCACTGTGTAATTACAGAGGGACTGTCAGGATATTTTCGCTTGTCCTCTCCTAACGAAATGCAGATTGCGTGGCATGTATACATAGAATTACTCTGTAATTCAAAGTAAATTGACATTTAATTTCAATTTAATTACACAGGAATTACAGACATGACAGATACAGTCTAATTAGGAAGCAAAGTAGAAGAATCTGTTTATGGAACGAAAATCCATATCATGTCACACTTTTAAAAGAATCAAAATAACTCCTCTGCTTTTTGTAGAGCATATGTAATAACAGCCACGGCCATAAGAATTAAAGCTATAATTCCGGCCCATCTCCTTCCTTGCTTGCTCTCTCCCTTCCTCCCTCTGTGTCTTCATCCTTGCACTGACTGAACACGCTTCCTGGGCCCCCATTCTGTCAGGCTCTGTACTGGGCCCCGGGTGCGGAAGGCCAAGGGAAGCTGACGGTGTTGTCGCCTCATGGGGTTTACTTTGCCCATTTTTTCCCCTTCTTCTAGGACACCGCAAGCAGGCCACCCGGCAGCCACACGCGCTGTGGACCCAGAGCACTTGGCTACACTGCCGGGACCTCTCAGGAGGCAACCGTGTGTGGAGGGGCGAGAGCAGGTGGGGAAGGGCGCACAGAGCCCATTCTATGGTGGTTTTACCCTTAGGACGGTTTCATCCAGACGCGGGGTCTCCCCGGCTTTCTCTTCTCTTCCAGTGGGTCTTTGTTTTTGTTTGTTTTTGTTTTTTTTTCCTTCTTCTCACCCCTGCGCTCGTACAAACCAAATGACAACCTGGCCCACTCCCTGCCTTCCCAAAACCCAGGCCCATTGACCTAACGGGACAATAGAATGTTCTTTCCAGCTCATTAATTTTCTTCAACCTAGCTTGCTTTTGTCATCCCCGATCCCTCCCCCATTGCTCACTATTGTGATAATCCCTAACATGGATATAATACTTGACAGTTTGTAATAGGCTTTCCCTTACACTGTCTCGTTTGATCCTTCACCACAAGTCTGTGAAGAAGTCAAGTTAATATTTCTATTATATCCAGTTTACTGGTGGGGAGATCAATAACCAGACGTTTATCCCCTCCTATGGCTTATTGGTAGGTGTCCTGGTCTCAGACTCTTCTGGGGTTGATGCCACCAACTTGGTTCTAAGGACATCAGCTCCGTGTCTTGCACTGAAGACCCTTTATGTTTTTCCTCCTGTTAGCCCAGATGTCACCTTTAACATATCACTTATGCAATCATTTATTTTAATCTTTAAAAATTGATTTAGAAATACTTAAATACATTTATTTATTTTTTTAAAGGTTTTTATTTCTTTATTTGAGAGAGAGAGAGAGAGGGAACACTAGCAGGGGGAGGGGCAGAGGGAGAGGGAGAAGCAGACTCCCAGCTGAGCAGAGCCCGATGTGGGGCTCGATCCCAGGACCCTGGGATCATGACCTGAGCCTATGGCAGACGTTTAAGGACTGAGCCACCCAGGCACCCCTTAAATACATTTATTTTAAACGAGACCTTCAAAGCACTACCTCAGTGGACAACTAGCACCCCCTGATAGAAAGAGGTCACCGTTCATCCCCATAGAGCAGAAAGGAAGCATCATCACTCGATTAGAGCTAGTTACTGCCATGGCTTGCCCATGGCTCTGAGCCTGATACCAGCTCCTTACTGATAGTTACCCTTAGCCGGAGGGAGAGTGGTGTTAAATGTCGACTACCACTCAGCAGAGACTTTCTCCTTAATGTACTCGGAAGCTCTGAAAAGGAATTGAAAATGAAAATGAAAGCAGAGAACAGTTTTCTCAGTGGGCATTCAAGATTTTTTCATGTTCTGTGTCCTCCTAAAAACACTCAGCTGCTCCCTTTCTGGCCTGCCTATTCTATTTCCCATGAACACGACTCCACTTGTGTCTACACAGAATGCCCAGAAGGTTGCATCCCCACTGTGAGGTGTCATAGACCGACACTCTCCAACCTAGTTTTCTTCGCTGGCTGCAGGGCAGGCCTGATGCCCAGGGCCTGAGGCTTTCTGGGCCCTTTTGCAGCCTGCCAGGGGTAGGTGGGGATTATTCTCTCCTAGATTTCTTTTAGACGTTGCACAGACTTGTGTATCTTACGGAGAAACGCACCTTATTGGAAAAACACAGGCATAAGAAAAAGTGGGCTCTTTCAGTGTTCTGGAAACCTTCATGGGCTTACTTCGCCTCCCCACACTTAGAGTTCAGCCTCCCATCAGTCAGAAGGTCGTATTGGTTTGCTTATGGAAAATAAAAGTCCCCCATGCTGAGAAATGGAGCATTTTGAGAAGGACGTCAGGTGTCTCCTTGAAAATACATCTTGATGAAACGTAAATGATGATATAAATGAATCAAACCCAATGGATTAATCACATCATTAACATATCAATCATTAACAAGTAAATTTGATAAAAAAAAATGGAACTGCTCCCACACATAGCTCCGAAATTCATACATCAGGCTGCTTTAAATCTGGAACAAAGCAGATATAAATAAACATAGATCAATAATAAAATAAAAATGATCGTGTCCCTTATTGTAATTGCAGATCTTTAGGTGAAGAATAGAAGTACGTACGTAGGGACGGATGCTTCTGTTTGCTTGATGTGGCCAGTTGGAAATCAAACAGAGAGAGGCGTGAATCTAAATGCACGGTCACAACCACCGTTCCTGGAATCCTTACTCCTTGTTCAATTGCTTTCTTAACCTCATGAAAATAAAATCAAGGCGGAGGCAAGCCACTTCGAAAAACACACAGAGAATTCATCTTCACTGTGCAGGAGATAAAATCAAAGGATGCACTGCTGTCCCACTGCTTTTTCATCAGCTTAAAAAGAGTGTATACCAACAACAAATCTGCTGGTGCAAGGGGGTTAGCCCATCAAAAAGAGATCAAAGGCAATAAGAAGGTCTCCATGAGGTACAGGGTGGCAGAGGACCGGGGAATCTGCAAAGAGACAGTGTGTCACGAGGCAGGGAGGATGGAGAGCAAGCAAATGAGAGCACATTTCCACAAAGTAGAAAGCGATTCAGCAGGTCACGCACTCCCTGCCTTTGGGATTAGGAGAGAAATCTGCCCTTCTGCCCTGTGTCAGGGCCAGTCCTGCCTGCCTTTGTGCAGGGAGTAGGGTGTGGGGGGGCAGGGGGTGAGGGACCTCCTCTTCCTGATGCCCTTTGGTGCTGAGGGCTCAGCTTTGCAAATTGGCAGTAGCGGGAACTGGGAACTCGGGAGAGCTCACTGCAGTGGTTCCATTATAAGCAGAACTGTTGAGTGGGTTTTTGGGGTATCTCAGTAATCCCTTCTTGATTGGCCACTTCCCCTTTTCAGACTCACTCTACTTCTTGGTTACTCCAAAAAGAAGATGCCCCACTCTCTCTGGATCGGAGCCTCTTGCCTCCCCGTGTCTCAGTCCTCATCAGGAGATATCCATCCATCCCCCGTGTCCTAGGCTGAAAAGACCAAAGTTCAGGGGGACCACCTGAGACACCTGCCTTCAGGTAAGTGGTGCGAGCGCAGGAGACTGTAGTGCGTCAGGGAGCAAATGCTGTGTCTAGAGCAGTCAAGTTGAAGGCACTGCTGACCTCAGAGCTTGCCCAGTCAAACACTTCTGTGGGGAGGCTTCTCCCAGCTTCTCCCAGCTCCCAGTTTGAAACCCTTGCCAGGTCTGAGAAAGAATCTGATAAAGGCAGTGGAATTAAGGTTTTAATGAGTATGATTGACACAGTGTGCTACCTTTCCCCACCCCACCCCCCCAGACCCCACCCGACCCCGCTCCCGCCAAATAAAAAAGATTTGCACTCCAAAAAAAGAACCCATCGTCTGAAGGCAAAATGATGTGCGATAGATGTAGTTGGGACAGGAAGGCAGGCTGATAAAACAATGTGCACTTTCAGGCCACAAACACACCATGGAAAGCAAAGTCATGGCATTGACCCTGAAGTTACACTCCCATTCCCTGCCCTCGTACGGTGGGTGGCCAATACTCAGGGGACCTTTGCTCGCTGACCCTGGAATCATCAGCCCAGCGTGGCCCTTCTGGTAGTCACATTGAGTAGTTGGGATTGGCGGGGAGGTCAAAGCTAGAGGAGAGGCAGTTCCTGTGTGTCCTCACCCCAGGCGCTGCTTGAGGCTGGGTGAGGGAGGTCCTTGGAGGTTTACTCCAGAACTCCTCAGAAGGCCTGGATAACTCTCCAGCACCACCACAAGAGTCCTCTGTTAAGAAATCTCTTAAACCGGGGGCACCTGGGTGGCTCAGTCGGTTAAGCATTCTACCGTTGCTTTTGGCTCAGGTCATGATCTCAGGGTCCTCGGATTGAGCCCCACATCCAGCTCCGTACTCCGTGTTGGAGTCTGTTTGAGATTCTCTCTCCCTCTCCCGATGCCTCTCCTGCTGGTGCTCTTTCTGTCTCTCAAATAAATAAATAGTGTTTTGTTTTGTTTTTTTAATTTCTTACTGGATGTTGCCAGTGATCCCCAAGCCCTACTGAAAAATTGGATTCCAATGGTAAGTGTGGTCCAAAAGGCCTGATCTGGGATTTGGCAAGTCTGAATTCTAGTTCCCATCCCTGCATTTATTAGTGGTGAAACCTTGGTCAAATTGCCTAACTTCTCTAGACCTTGAGTATTTGGCCGTTAAAGTTTCTAACTCCATCATTGCGGTAGGATCAGAAAAGAGAATAATGGCACTCCTGTCAGGGTTGTGTGAGGCTCAAAATGAGATGCTGTATGTAAATGTTTTGGGCAGAGTCCCCAGTGCTTCACACATGTTCAGTTATTCCTCTCTGGCTATTTCCAGATGTAAAATCAGATGCCATGGAAAATTGGAAAAGCCTATTCTTGTGAATTCCTAGTCTCCTGAATCCAGTGGAAAAACATCAGGCCAATTTTAAACCTATGTATTTCATATAGTGGAGTTTTTTTTTTTTAATGCCAAAATGAAAATTTTACTTACTCCAGAACTTGATGGAAATAAAATGAAGTCTGCAAGAATATTAAATGCTTAACCTATCACTTTCTTGCTCTTGGGAAATACATATATAAAAAGAAACCCTGTGCATTGTGTTCTGTCGTCCTGTGTCTATACATAATTAAAGATCTCTTTCACCATCCAAGATAATTTAAAGTTCAGGAGGGATAAATATCACCACTCCAGCAAATGTGCTAAATTCATGTTTTAATAAACTGAATTTACGCTGCCTGGTTCTTGCAAAATTAAGAATTAGACACATATGCTTTCCAGGAAAAGTAGTCAATTGCCTGGCTTTCTTCTGGACTAAAATACCATTTTCCCAGGAAGGGAAAAAACAAAAAAAAAGGCTGGCCTATATTTAGCACTGCTTGATGACCTTGGGGCCAGCTGGCAGCTAAGGAAGAGAAGGAGATTTCGACACTGGGTATAGAGGTAGCCTCAAGACGGCAAGTCTTAGAAAAAGACTCCAGGGCACCCCACGTTTGGAGGTCTGCAGATCACATCTATTTCCTCCTCCTTGAGTTTGCCTTTGGAATTTCCGATTGCCTTCTGAAGCAACTTTCCTTTTTCTTTGTCTCAAGCAATTAATTTTACTCAACACATTTTAACTCTTGATTTCAAGTCAGACGTTCCTTTCGGCATCATTTTTGTTTATTGAGAAGAACCTTAAGTTATAATTCTGTGGGTTCAATAGTGATCGTCCCGCAAGCTTTATGGGGTAAGGAGGACCCTGAAGAGCCAGGCATATAAATTTTGTTAATAGCCATGTTTTGTATGCACTAAGAGACTTCTTTCCAAGCATGGTGACTCCTTTATAAAGAAAATTGTCACTTCCAAGTAATAAATCACTCTTGATTTTTATAATTCCAGATCTAGATTAAAGCGGGAAACGTGTCTGAAAAAAGTTGTCAGTGGATAAAACAGTGTTGCTGAGTAAATAAATAAAATTCTGCTTACAATGTGGAGTCACATCGCAGTCATTGCTGGAAAGTGACTGCAGCCTTTGTTTTAATAAAATACACCAGGTAAGTCCCTGAGGCTGGCTTCCAGCAAAGAGGGGGTGTGTCTGAGTAGAGAGGGCAGAGGCAATTTCCAGAAAGAACACTGTTTACCTGAACAGTCTGCTTTCCAAGAACCTCTACGCCTGGTCAGGGAGTCTTAGGGAGTGAGCCAATTGTGTGTGTGTGTGTGTGTGCGCGCGCGCGTCTGCGTCTGTTTGTATGTGGAGGTCTGTGTGTGCACGCGTGCGGGAGCATACCCACGTGTGTCTGTGCAGGTGTGTGTACTTGGTGGGCTCCGCCTGGTTGTGTGCACGTGTGTGAGTGGGTACCCGTGCGCCTGTGGGCGCGTGCATCCGAGCACCTGTGGGCGCATGCGCCTGTGAGCACCTGCATCCGCGCCCCTGTGGGCGCATGCGCCTGTGAGCACCTGCATCCGCGCGCCTGTGAGCGCGTGCGCTCGCAGGTGATTTCTGTGTGATGGTGGTGAGTGGACGGAAGGAGGGACGCCAGCTCTCTTTTTATGCTTTTCTGTGGTGCACAGTAACCTCTACAGCTGCAAAGTTAATGATATCTAGTGCGATGCTTTTTCTAAAGCATAATCAGTTCCCACAGTCACAGAATTAGAGGGAAGGAAAGGAAGAAAAAAGATTGATGGGTTTGGCAGAAGGTAAGTTGCTATTACTATGTTCTGTAAACGTGAAATTGTCCCATTAAAATGATTCTGAACTAGTATGATATAGTTCGGAGAAAAAAAGGTTTGTGTAGAACCTCTTCAGGGACCTCTTCAGGGGCAAGAAAACCTCAGTGAGTAGCTAGTATTTATTAGGATACCATGGCCGGGAGGGTTGGAAGCGAGCTACACACCGCCTTGGAAGCACAGTTCATGCCGAGAGAGAAGACTGTAAGCCCTTCTGTGTAAGGCTGCGGGCTTGTTGGGCTTCATGGCATAGGACTTGGAGATGTTCCTCAGCTCATGGTTTAGACCCCGGGTTTTATTTTAATGGTCTGGGACTTCAGGCAAGTTACTAAATTTCCCTGAATCTCTGCTTTCCCATCTGTACAGTGGGAATACTGATACCTTCTCCGTAGTGCAGCAAGAAATTAAATGAGAGGTATTGGGATTCATGAAATGTTTTCTCCATTGACTTCTGAATTCTATCCTTACGTGAATGGTTTTATAAGCAATCTCTGTCAGGACCTAGATTCCCTTGGATTAATTGGTTATCACTCCCCAGTAGGTCCAGTTAGGAAATTGAGGAAGATGATATTCTTGAGTCATGGACATCTGTCATCTAATGAAGATTGATAAAGAACCATTGAGCCCGGTGTTGGCTGAGCTGTGTCCAGTGGGGTCTCATTCCCAGTGAGCGCACATCCCGCCAGTGGTGTGTCAGTGAGGGGGGTCGAGAGAGAAGGGCACTGTGGTTGCAGGATCAGGAGTCCCCACTAGACCTTCTACTCTTGATGATTAATCTCTAGATGTCTGTCCTCAGAACTGCGCCTATGACAAAGGACATTCAGCTTTCATATTGTGTGGCGGTTAAGAGCATGACTTTTGATTCAAATCCTGGCTCTGAGAGTTACCAGCAAGGTGATCTCACCAAATTACTTCATCTCTCTGGGCCTCAGTGTCCTTATCTATAAAATTACAATCATCATGCTTCCCTTATATGGTGGGTGTGAGGATTAAAGAAGTTGATGTGTATATATATATATATATAAACTGGCCAGCTCATAGCAGTGAATCAACATTGGCTTTGGTCCTTAGATGATGGTGGTTATAATTGTGGAAACTTCCACGATGTTGGATTCTGGGCCTATCCTTGGTCTGCTGAACGCATTTGAGAAGATATCCAACACTGAGGCCTGCGAGCCATTTTGGGATAATGAATCCCACAGTCCAAGGGCCAGAAGTGCGCACGGTCCCCCCAAGCCAACATCCTTAAAAGTAAAACCCAGGCCAAAGGGAACAGGAAAAAAAATTACAGGAGATCCTTGTTTCTTTATGGCATGCTGGTAATATCAGTTTAAATTCTCCTGTGGACTGGGTGGGGCAAAAAAAGAGACTGTTTTTGTATTACTTTACTCTTTCCAACTAGCCTTCATCTTCGTACTCACAGTCAATCGACACATCAATTATGACTCTCACTGCCAATGAAATGGAGAACGTATTTTCCTTTTATAATCAAGCCGTATGGTCTAGCAGTTAAAACTACATGTTTTGGAGTTAACTGCATCTGAGTTTGATTTGAGACAAATTGAACTCTCTGAGAGTCCATTTCCTTACCTTTAAAACCGGGTAATCATGGTGCCTGCCTCACAGTGCTGTGGTGAGGATTATACGATAAAACGCACACAAAGTCCGCAGAGCAGGGTTTGGAGTTGACTAATCAGTCAGTAGGTATTAATTTCTGTGGTGGTTTAAAAATATTGTCAAGGGGCCCTTGGCAACAAAGAAAGGCATCGCCGTGAGGCTGTGAGAACCTGGCCCACCCCCACATTGGAAAGCCCACGGCGCTCGTTGCAAAACACAGAACCCAAGAGGGGTTCCAGGAGAGGTGGTCTTGCACAGCATGGCTTCCTCTGGGTCAGGAGCCAGAAAGCCCAAGAGCAGGACTGGCTCCATCATTTGCAGGGCCCATTGCAAAATTAAATTGCAGGGCTTTTCATTCAGAGTTGTAAGAATTTCAAGATGGCAGCCGCAAAGCATGAAACCAAGCATGGAGTCTTGCTGAGCCTGGGAGGCTGTGAACTGCTCAGCTTTGCTCGCCCCAAGCCAGCCCTGGCGAGGAGTGAGGGGGCGTGCTGGGGGCGGGGAGGGGAAAGGAGACTCTGCCCTAGAAAACAAGGGTTGGTTTAACAGCTCCAGAGCCACGTCCAGTACACCCACGCTGGTATCCCACACCGGGACACCCATTTTATAAACCTGCTTCCTGCTGAGTGTGCCCCATGCCGTGGGGAGGGGAGGCAGGCAAGTGGCTGCTCATTTGTTGAGCTTTGGGGTTGCCAAACTCAAGGCCAGCATTTTAGGGCCAAGGTTCTAGAGAGAATTTATAGGCTTTCTGCAGCTCAGTGCTTTATACCGAGGGTTAATCCTGGTTTATTAGAGGAGTAGCAAGGACATGTGAAAGACGCCTTGGATGGGCTCCATGTCGCAGCCTGGACTCCTAATAAAACAGGCCGTCCCCACCAGTCCCTGGCCCGGCTTCCCAGGATACATCAGCCCAAGGAAGCAGAGGCGGGCTCCCTGCCAGGGGCTGCACGCTCACTTCATTTCCTGTGGCGTGAAGCACGGGCGTGGACTCCGCCTAGAGCTTCCAGGCCTCCCAGCTGATTCCTGGCCCCGGGGTTGAAGGGAGCAAGGGCTTTGTGGGAAAGTGTGCTGGGAGAGGGGGGAAGTGCCTGAGGGAAGAGGCCCGGAGAGCAGGAGACTGGCAGAGCAAGGTATTAATCAAGGCACAGCTAAGAGAGCAGCCTTGCCAGGAACACTCACTGGCTCCCCGGCTGCCAACGGGCCTGATGGAGGAGTTGCTATCTGAACTCTGAGCAAGTATATGCGCTCATGCAGATAGTGAGAGCAATTACAAACAATATGCAGGTTACAGTCGAGAATAATGCAGCATGTGATTCAAGGTCCTTTCACACGCCGCCCGTGATTGATGGTGCATTAGTTCATTTGTGTACCATGAGGATGCTTTCTCAGTTCTCCAAAAGACAGGGTTCCCTACCCCGTCTTATCTGAAGAGCTCCACGGAATAAAGAAACATCCCTGTGCCTTCTTAGGTCGTCTGGACACCTGAAATGAATGGGCAGGGCCGGGGACAATTCATCCCCAGTCCCCTGTTGCATCAGTGAGGGGGGGGGGTGCCTAATCCAGGTTTGCGGGGATCTGAGTTCCGGATGTGTGATTCTGAATTTCTGTGCCTTGGCAACTTTTCTGCAGAGTACCACGAAATCTGTGTAGCACAGAATTGGGAAAACGTGTGTGTGTAAATGACACCTGCTAGGAAACACATCCCCAAGCCCGTCTGTGGAAGGGACAGCAGGCTTTAGTGGATGGACAGTGGACACAGATCATTGGAATCGTGCCTTCCTCTTCTCCTACCGTTGGAATTTTGTCTCCGAAGTACATCCAGGGGCTTTTTAAGAATTTTGAATCCTGTGGAGAAGAAGCAGGTGAACATCTCTGAGGCTTTGAGGTTTGCAAGTTCTGATTTGCTTTTCAGAAATTAGTATCTTGAAAAACATTTTAAGAGAGCTTTGCTGCAAAGATTCTTGCTCCCTTAACACAGAAATTTATGGCTGACACAGATTATATAAAACCCTTAGAACCCTTGCGAATAAAGACGCCTCAGACCATAACAAACAGGATGAACCTAGGGAAGATTTGCTTTTAAATCATTCTGTGACTGAAAGCTATTTGATAAACTCCCCGACGAAAGATTACTGGGAAAAAGAATTCCTTTGGATTGGTTTGAACATCCAAAAATTAAATATCACAATTTACACTTACAATAGAAGTAATTTTTTCTTAAAGTGAGAGCAACTAATTACATGATCTGTTAAAATGTAAGTGGTGATAAAATGTGTTTTGATGTCAATGTTTATCAGAAGGAACACAGCACTTTGCAGAACGGTTTTTAATCCAGGACTGCTGCCCAGTGGGATGGTCAAGTTGACCAAACCCAGGAAAGAAGTCAGGTGCGTGGGGCGGGCTGTGCCTGATTGACAGCCTGAACAGTCAGCTCCCTTGACCTCAGCGTCCTTTGGGCTCCTGGAACTGATCCTTTGCCCAGTGGGCAGGGCAGAGCCAGGCTAAAGAGTATTGTATTCATGGGTTTACTATACATTTACTTATGATGATGAACATTTTGATGACTTTCGGTTTTTTGCTACTATAAACAATGTTAAAATGAATAATCCTGTATGTGTGCTTTTGTACACATTTTGGATTTATAAACCCTTAGAAGAGCCAGATTCTTGTTGAGTCAGTGGGTCTATGGATTTAAAACTGCCAATTTGCCTTCCAGAAAGGTTGTACCAATTTATACACCTGCCAAAATTTTATGAGAATACCTATTACTTCACACACATGCCAACCCAGCATGCTATTCAACTTTTTGATTTTGATTCATCTGTGAGGTGAAAATGACATCACACGTTAGTATTAATTTGCATTCTCTTATGTAAGGTTGAATATCTTTTTATAGGTGAAAAGACTATTTTATCATGTGTTTTTCTGCCAACTCAGTTCGCCCTCCTTGTCCTTTTTTATTTTTTGGATTGTTGGTCTTTTTCTTATTAGTTTTCAAGACAAGTTCTTTATATAGGAAGAAAATTACCGCTTTGTCTATCACATATTTACAGATCCTTTCCCCAGTTTCTCACTTGTCCTGTTACCTTTTTTATGGTACTAGTTCTTTATTTCACAGTGCAGAAATTTAAACCTTTATGCCCTCACATTTCCAAACATTCTCAATGTACGAATTTTTCAGAATGCGATGAGACACTGTGGGACGATATACGGGGGAATGCCAGGCGCTCAGGGCCTTCCCAACCACCCTTGATGTGTCTTTTCTGCCCCGAGCACATTTTCCTTGACACAGTGCTTTCCAGAAACACCTGGACAGGGCCCCAGCACATCTGCCATTTCATACAGTATCCATGGTGTACAGCTGCCTTAGGTGGGACTCCCCAAGACGTAGACCCTACAGCAGCACTTTGCATGTAGGAAGTTCACTGGGGAGTGCTCTTAGCATTTGGAAGGCAGCTGGAGTGTGTGCTTGCAACCCATGGCCCAGCCAAAGGGAGCTCTGGAACTGGTGCATCCTTCAGAGAAACCCAAATGAGGCAAGGTGGAAGGGGCTTGTACCCTACACCAACTAGGGGTTACTCCCAGGGAGGGGAGGTATCCTTGGCATGGCAGCCCCTTTCGCTAAGATCATTTGCTAAGCAGAACCAGGCCATGAACTGTGAGCCCCCAACACTCCCTGGGAATGGTGGCCTTGGTTCTGATGGGAGGATCTGCTAGGTCATACCCTGTATTCACTCCGCAAACTACTTAGGCTGCCTCTGCTTTGATAGATCTGGTCCTGTGGTCCCTCTGGCCTCAGTGCTTTGCCAGCGTATGCTCCCTTCAGTTTTTTTTTTTTAAGATTTTATTTATTTATTTATAGGACAGAGAGAGACACAGCGAGAGAGGGAACACAAGCAGGGGAAGTGGGAGAGGGAGAAGCAGGCTTCCCGCGGAGCAGGGAGCCCGATGTGGGGCTTGATCCCAGGACCCTGGGATCATGACCTGAGCCGAAGGCAGACGCTTAACTACTGAGCCACCCAGGCGCCCCTCCCTTCAGTTTTGAGCAGCTTAGCTACCTTTTCAGTGACCTAGAGAAAGGGCAGTAGAGTGCTCATCGGCCTGAGTGAGCATTTTCCTCTTACTTCTCCCCGCTGGGTCTTCAGGATTCTTTGACACCTTGCACAGATATGGGAAAGGGCTATAAAAAGCTCCCATGCTTGCAGATAAAGTGAACCAGACACACTAATTAAAGAGATGACTATGGTTGCAAATTTAGGGCTTTGGGGAGATTTTGGCTTATGTGTTTCCGCAGTGAAGGAAGGAGAGACAGGATTGCATTTAATGAGCCCAACGTCCCCGGAGGCCTTTGCTTTTCCATGCCTGTTACCCACCAAAGCCCATCACACCGCTGAGCTGGAAGCTCCTTTCTGGATGGTGTGATAGGCATTGCAAATCCCCTCAGAGGACCCTTCACCGGGCCCACAACAGGGCGCCTAGCAAAACATCACCACATGTGTGTAGTACCATTTACTTTTTTTTAGGGGCTGCTGGCTCTTACTGGAATTGGGTTCTCCTCGTGCTTGCTTTGGCTCCCAGCCACCAGCTGGGCCCGTGGCTGGATCAGGGTACACCACGAAGAGGGGAGTTTGTAGCCTCTCCTCTGCGGGTACCAGGGCATGTTCTGTGGACTCGCAGGGTCTGGCCCCACCCTCAGAGCTAATGACCCCAGACGCCGCTCTCAGTCAGGAATTGTGGGTAGAAAGCCCAGCCTCTGTGCCTCTGGGGAGCAGGGCAGCTCTGAGGCTTGCTGTCTGCAGCCCCCCAGAGGCTCCAGCAGGACAGAGCCTCAGGTGCTCACAGTGAAACCTGGCTTATTGACACATTATATTCTAGCTCGCTTCCCTCCTTCCACCCCCTTTCCCCCCCTTCCATCCCCTCCGTCTCCTAAGCTCCACTACTCACATTCAAATCCTTATCTGCCAGCACCAGGCAAGCTTCTAGGTGTTAAAGTTGCCAGGCAAATGGTTCCATCTGGGAAATCGTGCGCTCAAGGTGGATGTCCTACCTTCTCCCCGCATCTCGTCCGTCCAAAGGCAAAACACACCACCAACCCGAGACAAGCAAACAAGGACAGCAACAACAGTGAGAAACGAGTGTCACCTGTTACGTGGCCCACAGAGGACTTATCCTAATTGTCTGGATTGGGCTTTGCAAATGTATTAGTTTTGATGTGGCCGGCTTCCAAAATTACGTTCCAGGCAGGATTCCAGCCATTCTGCCTACTAATTCTTAACCGGCAGGTTGCACGATCTTCTTGATTCTTGACATCACACCGAGCACATTGTCAGTCTCAGCCCCCTGGGACTGGAGAAAAAGGGGGTCTTTGGTGAGGAGTCCAGAATTACTTTCAGCAGACCCCCCACCTGGTTCTGATGAACTGGTGCTCATTCTGCACATGCAATTATTTTCTCTATGTCCATATCAATACTCTGTGCTGATAAAGATTAAAAGGGGCAAAACAGAGCTTGAGAGCTTTACAACTCCTACCGGAGCTGCAATGTATTTTCCTATCTGTCCGTTTGATTGGAAATTTAAATCATCTCACATTTTAGGAAATTGGTAGCCTCATAAGATATGGAATCTGACAGTTTATGGCGCAATCTGCGCCTTGCTGTCTTTAAAGGAAAGCTAGTAAAAATTGAAATTAAGGAAAACAAATAAATACCATCGTCCTCTGATGGTGCATTTTATAACGATCACATCTGCTGCAAAGTGCCTGAAAAATGGCTCTGGACGGCTGCCGGCGCCACAGATCGGCTCACGCGGCGAAGAAGAGCTGAGCAGGAGAGGATGTGGGATAAATGCGCTTTTTGCAGGAGAGTTGAACCTGGCATCCAGGAGCACTCTGCCATTTGTTTGGGTTGCTGTTGCTGTGCATCTCTCAAAGCACGTGAGATTCCTGTCCCTCCATGCCCTGCCCCCGGGTTGCAGTGCCACCGCTCAGGAAGGAAACGGTCAGGAACAGTCAGCAGGGCTGGGTGTGTGCACACGCTCGCCCCTGAACCCGGGGAGGGGGAGCGGTGAGGGCGGCGGCTAGAAACAGCAACAGCTCTGACTTTTTGTGTTCCTCTTTCCTTTGACCTTGGATCCTTGGCAGGTCAGGAGGACAAATCCAAAGTTCGAGATTTAATTCTGTTATTTAAAACTATAAAGAGAATCATTAAAAAAAAAAAGTATTCGTTCAGAATGAAGTCCCAGTGAGATTTACGAGGGGCCGGGCACTGGGTTTAGCGCTTTATGTGGAATGCTTCGTTTAATTCTAACAAACTTCAGAGGTCGGTGTTATTATTATTTCAGTGCTGAAGGTGAGGAACCCAAGATTTAGAGCGAGACCAGGGCTTGGTAGTGAAATCAGGGTGATCGGCCTCGTCTGCAGTGTCCTGATCTGACTTAGAGCCGTGCATGACAGCCTAGCAGGCGTCTTCCAAACCCCGGGAAGAGGATGGAGCGATATGCCCCTTGCTTCGCCCATGCCCCATCCCCCTGCCCCAAATCCTCTTTCTGCCTGTCCCGGGACCCAGGCTCTTGGCCTCCTCTTGTTGTCAAATCCTTTCTGTTCATTAAGATATAAAGAGCTCACAGTGCTCGACCTGAGGCTTCCCTCAGGGGTTCTGTGTTTTCACCGGGTCCAGGTTCTAAAACCAAGGAGCCCCAAGCAACCCCCCAAGGTATTGGGGCAGATTGTGTTTTGGGGGAGACGAGTGGTTGGAAGGCTGGAACTTTGTATGAGTTTGCGTTCCTCCGTAAGCCAGCCCTGCAGTCAGCAAGTTATTCGGAAGGCCAAGGAGGCACTGGTGGGGGATGGGGGGGATAAAACCAGAAAGGGGGGGCCGCCACCGGAGCTGCTTTATCAAGCGGTTAGCTCTGTAGGCGACTGAGCTTCATCCCCAATGGGGAAACCTGGCAGACATTCGTTCTCCTGCAGGAACGTCTGCCTCAGAGTAGTCCTGTTCAGAGGGCCAGGGAGCCTGGGCGTTTATGTGCTCCTCCTTTGGCTGTTGGTTGAGGGCTGCTGGCCCGGGGTGTGTTCGTGCTCTGCTGTTTCTGGCCTGCCAGACGGGTGGGAAAGCAGGCGTCTGTGGTCAGAGAAAGCCCTGGAGCAGAGAAGGCAGGTGCTGGTGCTTGGAGATGAGGCTGACGCGCATGCCGTGGAAAGGCAAGGGGCTGCGCGCAGGCCGCGGGGGTGATGCCCGGCCTGCCACAGGCTTTCTCGACTCCTTGGAACCACAGCCCTGAAGTTAGGAGTCTCATCCCAAGTGGGCATCCCGCCTAGCCTCAGTCTCCCTCCTACCCCAGACTGTTCAAAGACCAAAAAGTGGTACTGGATCCAAACCAGGGCACTGTTGTGTATGTGCGCGCTCACGCATGCGTGTCAGGGTGCTGGTGGTTCTGTAACTGCCTTCTAAACACTGGAGGCAATAACGACGCGTTATACCGGTTTGCTGTGGGTTAGATATTTTCTAAAGCTTCTCTTTTCTTCTTAAGCAGCTTTGATTTAAAGGCGGCAAGATCTACTGGGTATTTA